TGCTCAGAAATACAAATGCAACAAAACATATAATAAGGCAAAGATCCAGGGGTTCAAGGGTAGCCAAACAGTATACAGCAATAAATAATCACATAACTAACAAACTTTCCTCACAACATAAATAATCAAATACAAATTATAGAAAAACATCAAAACGTGAGCATACATTTAAGGTTTTAATTGCCTTTTTGTTATAGGAGGTAGACAAAGATTTAATATAGATTTTAATATCTTCTTGAAAATAAGAAAAGTTCGGGGTCTCGCGGCTAAAGGTGGCCGCATCCTTCAAATGTAATCGGCATCGATTCAGCAATACTATACTGAATGAGAGGTGATCCCACCCACTGTCGACAATTGGCTGACATAATTCCACCCACTGTCGACAATTGGCTGACATACTGTGACGCCGTGGGGTTGGTCAGCAGCCGGCATGTTTTGTACTGCACCGCACTTATCTTTATTTGCTGTAAATTAATATGGGTATTTGTCTATTTTTGGTAATTGTAAATGTGGTAATTGTGTAATGTCTGCCGTAGAATGTGTGTGTTTCCTTAGAGTGTAACCATGACAGTCATGTAAACTGTTGGTTTTTAACAAATTGGTCCTTAACAAAGACAGTATTTCATTTTAAGAGCTGTCATTTTCTTTATTAAAATGACTCGACCACTCGTCACAACACATTTAATTTTTTGCCCCCTTTCTGTGGGTCTGCTGTATCAAAAACATTCTGCTGTTTCTTGTTTGTAATATTGAGTATCTATCTACACTTACTGTTCTGCCATTGATTGTCGTTGCTTTTTTACAGTGACATGATTAACTTTGTACATGTTCTTGTCAAATAAAATAATTTTTCTTTATAAAGATATGATTTGGTATTCCAAAAGTTTTCTTTCAAAAATGTATTTGATATTGTCTGTAAAGGTACAGTACACACTATGCACACTGTTCATTTAAAATGGAATAGACACAGCACCTACAGGTTATCAAAGTTAAGAGGCACTTTTAATTTTTATGTTTTTCTCTCCTTGATTTCACACAGTAGAGACATAAACTAGACCTAGTTATTCTGCCATCTTTCTGAATGGAGAATTGTTATATGGAAAAATACAGAAAATATATCAACCTGGAAAATGCATCACCCTTTACTTCAATGTTGAAGTAAAGGGTGATGTGGTGTGATGTGCTTTTATTTTCTTCTTAAATGTAAAGACACCGAAACCATATCATTTCTGTGGTCCAAAAACCACGACAAATACCGAACTGTGGGAAAACTCTCCCGTCACATCCCTAATGTTTCATTCCTTATAAATATCGTTCTACCTATTTAGCACATAGCAATGTTGACTTATCTTTCTCACACTGGGGTCTTGCAAGAAAGAAAACACAGGGGATGATTCAAAGTAGCTAGCCAGACATCTTCACCGACCCTGCCATGCTGAATTGTTTACAAGCTGTAACTCAGGCAACCAGCACAAAAGTAAAGGTCAATGTTACATCATGTGAATTTCTTTTTAGCTGTGAGAAATCGGTGTCTTCATTCAAGTAATCACATTTACAATCTGTGCCTAAATTTGTGTATAAAACAAACGGAAACACTTTACATTAAGTGCACCTTCATAATGCATTCATAGAACATTCATAAGCAGCATGCCAGTACACCTTAACATCCTAACATCCCGTAACAGCTTTAATATACATTAATAACAAACATTATATGATTATACAAATATAATGTTTGATATTATATTAGTTTGACATTATATTTTAATGCTTGTTATTAATGTATATTACAGATGTTAAGGGATGTTATGATATACGTTCATGATGTTTATGAATGTTTTATGAATACTTAATGAATACAATATGAAGGTGCACTGAACATTTTATGAATGCAATATAAAAGCATTATGACGGTGCGGGTAATGTAAAGCTTCGCCGAAAACAAACTCTAAACAACAAAATAAACCACTTTTAAATCCTCGCTGGTCATAATTAATCACACATCCATAATATGTTACTGCCTTGAAAAAGAGCTCTGAGCAGAACTGATTCAGGTGAGTTAGAAACTTCTAAAATAAAGGATTATAAAATCAGTACAGTAACCCCTTCACATTCACAAGGGTTAAGGTGGCACATCCTGAGGAACGCGACAATTCACAAATAATACTTAAGGCTGCACCTGTAACCTCAACCCATAACAGTCTGCTAGCCTGAACAATTACATGAAAAGTCTATTCACTTCCAATTCCTAAACAAATATTACTGTACTGTAAATTACTTTGTCATTTCCTATGAAGACCTTTTTATATAATATAAAAACCATCTAAATTATGCCCCTGTATGTATAAAATAAATCACTGTACACACTGAGCACCACATTTTGGACTCTATCAAAAATGCAAAATTAACTGGAAAGTTCAAAATTTACTACAAGAAATGCAAGACTGCACTGTCACAGACAGCCAACACATGAGTGAGGCTGGTTGACAAGAACAAGACGTTTGGCCGAGCAAAGAATTTAATATTAAAGCAATAATGTGCACTTACACTAACAAGTATTGTGTATTACTAATTTTTATATATTATATGATTTTATGTGATCCAAATAATTTTCAGGATTGTTTTTGGTTTACGTGCCTGCTACTTTTTGCAACCTTTAGGCAACTTCCAAAAATGTTCCCAAAATTGTTCATGACCAACTCGCAAAGAACAGAAAGCGTGAATTCATGTCAAATGCACAAATATGAAGGTTTACTGTGCATAGCTGAGCTGCCGTGATGCTACGCACATTACATTTATTTACCAGACACATTTTTAAAAGCAACATACAGCCATGGAAAATGTTAAGAGGCCACTCTTTATTTTTAAAGAAATCTACATTTTTAAATCCTGGTTTAATCATGGTTCTGCTGGCAGAAGACCATGCTCTGCAGGTTGCTTCCAGGTTCAGACAGCAGTACAAGAGAAAGGTGAAGCAGGAGACACTGGGAATGACCAGAAACCAGCCAAGTAAAAGGGGGAAGTGACTTTCTAATGCCAGAGATGACGGTCAACTTATCCGACAGTCTCTCATGAATCGGAGAATGACATCAAGTGAACATTAAAAGCAATGGGAAACATTAAGTGCAGGTGTGAAGTGCACTGCTAGGACAGTTCATATCAGGCTCCTAGGAGCAGAACTGAAGTCCCAAAAAGCAAGGAAGAAGCCCTTCATTAATGAGAAATAGAGAAGAACCAGGCTGCAGTTTGCAAGATATATATATATTTGAGAAAGCAGTGTCAACCAGTCCCAGCAGAAATTCGAATTTAGGGTCTTGCTCACTTGACGGTTGAAATCACTCAGCCACAGAATTTGAACTGTTGCCCTTCCAGTGACAGGCAGAGAGTCCTAGACCATAGTGGAACGCACTGTCCTGATGCATATTCGTATTGCATCAATAAACCCTAATAGATGCTGCCAATCCTGCTTTGTTCTAATCCTACCTCTCTTGTTGTTTTCCTCCATCTTTGTGAGGGACATGGCAGACTGGCTGCCGCTTTCCTGTTTTCATCTCTCTCCGTGCCAAATGAAATTTTACATGAAGCACTTTTTTCATCAGCGTAACATGAAGCAATAAATCCCTGTAGCAGGAAGAGCAATTGCGGTGCCCTTCGGTCAAGAAGCCAACGTGACCAAGTAGCGATATGCACTGCAGCCCATCCAAAGGATGCATGAAATTACAATCACAAAAGGATCAAGGGCACTGTTCTAATTGCAGCCCAAAGATGTCACCTACACTCTTGCCAAGATCAAGACATCAAGACTATTTTTTGATAATATTTTGGGGAATTCCAAAGTAACTAATAGCCCTTATCGGCAATAAAAAAGACCTTGCTCTATGATCCTTACTTATACATCGCTTTGGATATAAAAGCGACTGCTTAGAAAAAACATCAAATGTAAATGCAAACAAACAAACTTCAAATAAATAGATACAAAACAGACAAAAAATAACTGTTGTGGAAATATGGTTGCAAAGTAGCGATTTTAGTTTAAATTTGTTCTCATCTTTTTTGCCTTGATCGGGTTAAAGAATCCTTCACTTTGTCTTCAAAGTTCTAAAAGGTCTTATCACAGAAAATGCCTTTCAACCATGAGTACGTGGAAGTCATCATTGTGCAACTTTGACGGAATGTGTCCTGCACTGAAAAGTCCACGATGACTCACTTTCCTATGGTTCACTTCCATCTGACTTTAGTGAAGTTACCTCTGGTGACAGAAGTGAACATGTAACCCACGTATCATAATAAATTACTTAGTCTGGATGCATTTATAGAAATGTCACAGTGCCATAGTAGCTACTTTGACAAAACAGTGTCAAAAAACTAGTACAGAGCGCAAGAAGCAAAAAAATATTGCCATAAGCATCTAGTAAACATACCTTATGTAGAAATGTAAGATCCATGAAACATTCTGTTCAGATTCTTAAACATCTGTGTTACCCAGCAAATCATCAAAAACTCTCACACTGAACAAAAGGAACTATCCTAACACATTTCCCAGTGGGCTTTCAAATCTTTACTCGGTGACGCGAGGATTTCCAGAACTATCTTGTTGTCTATAGATGTCCGTTTCACATCCAGGGGCCCCCACCCCCTACGCACGTGCACATGCACGAACACACCAGTCTTCCAAAAGGCGCTTATCTCTGCCCAGCAAGACTAGCCAACGCCCTATCAGGCTGCCAACGCCATCACCACAGCAACACTTGCCTGATTGGGTCCTCCAAGCACTTCTGATAAATATGTTCATCTAGAAACCACCCCCCTCCGAAAAAAAAGAGGTACACATGCACAGACTCACAGTGTGACCAAGTTGCAAACTGCAAAATCTCACAGTAATCAGTAAGGCAGAGACCAAACTGTCCACCTCACTCGCCATGGCCCTGACATTAACAGTAAACCACCAGCAGCTCTCCACGTCACATCACCTACCAGCACAAGTTCACATCCACAATGGAGATCAAGTTCATGGTTAGATCAGCAGAGCTGCATTTTCAGTTTACACATGTTTGTGGTCAACTGCCAGATTACATCTCTGTCCCGCTTCTCTCTGTCATGCTCGACCCCCCTCCCCCACCAGGGCCCATCTGTCCCCCCCCCCCAGCACAGCTTTTCCGCCACAGTCCCCGTGTATAGCCCACACCGCTGCCTGCATCCTCTCATCCACGTTACAGTGGAGAAAATGAGCACTTGACAAGCTGTGCGATCAGATTAGCAAACCATTAGTTAAATCAACAAATCTCTTGGCTACCACTGGGATCTGCTAATATAATAATATGTGTTGTTACTATGGAGAGCCCCATTAAAGTTTTGTTCCTTAACTGCATGTGGCGGAGCAGTTTTCGTAGTTACTAGAACAGGGCAGGCACCAAAACAATCACCACATCTCCCTTAGCGCCATAGGAAGATAATAGTCACTGAGCATCTAAGGAACATGGCCTGAGATTATAGCTAATACACTTTAAGTAGTGCTGAGCGATAAAACGATCTCGATTTTTTTATCGATAAAAAATGAGGACGATCACGATGATACACACGGACTATAAAACTCAATCAACCAAGTTTGCTCTATTTTAGAGAATGCGAAGACAGACAACTCGATAGCCTATCGAGCAGAGGTTTACTGAACGCCAGCACAACAGCCAATCACCGACGACGTTGTAATTTTGCCCATCCTCCCTTAAAGAAGCAATGGGTGCGTTTGACTTGGGCTTAGGTCTGTCTGCAGCTGAGCTGACGCGACGTGGAGCGCGATTTGCCGGCAGCTGCAGGGCTGGAGTATAAACTGACTGCAGCCAAGTCTGACAACTTCTACTCCTCCTAGTGTGCGATACCTGACTGCAATGGCAGCACTGCCAGAAGGGTGTAGATAAATATATACAAATATCACCTGCATGCACATTACTTCTTTTACAATAACCAACTCTTGATACAAACTGTTAGGAGTGAATAAAACTATTGTGTATAGTGGCTCTGTGCAAAAAGATAGCTGCCAGGAAAAAGATAAAATACATGTATTAAAAGGATTCAAAGTTATTATTGTCATGTACAGAGTACAATAAAATTCTTACTTGAATGCCGCCTTCACAGATTGGACGATTAAACAAATAAAGCAGCGCAACATTACAGTAACTAACAATAAATAAACCACTAACTTACGTGTACTGTTAGAGCATTTATGTAATTTATTTTAACTTTATTTTACCAGGTAAATGAACTGAAAACCAGTTCTCACTGCTTTACTTGCTTTTCGGGAGAAATAGCAGATAACGCATTGGAACTCCCTGGGATACAAACGTCATGCGTGTGAATAAAATCTTCAGTCAATAAGGGCAAAGTTGTGTCGTCATGGAGGCGGTTCCAGTTTCTGCTGCACAGCCTGCACGGTTTGTCTCAAATCGTCTTGCTCTCGCGAGGATTTTGTACCATGTGACATGGTGACGAGTGCTGACGTTTTGCAGCGCTGGACAAAAAAAATCTAACCATGCTTTTTGTTTTAAATAGTTTTTAAGAGACCAAGAATACATGTTGCAGTCAGTTCTGTCCTGCTTTATTTTATGTTTGCCCTTTAACATATTTGCAATATTATACAGTTTTGCACATTGTTACATTATTATATGGTTTTGTTCATTTGAGCTATATTTCTTTGAATACTTAAAAATCAATAGCCTTTTAAGGGAATTTTGTATGTAAACAGTAAAATTTGTTGGAAAATAAGTATTTGCTTACTAATATTGTTTATTTCTATGTATTCATTCTATTTTGCCATATCACCCAGCTCTAAGTTTAGGTTATAAAAAAAGGAAATCAGAAGTGATTTCAATACAAAATGAAAACACTAACTAAACATTTAAAAAATGTTATAGTAATTTACGAAGTTCTCAAACTGAAATACCAAACACTAGTATTGCACCGAAGTGGAAAGATGACATATTTTTGTTTGATGTTGCCGATATGAATAACTGGCTAATCTCTGAGCCACTTTTCAAGTGGGGAATGGAAACTAAAGATCGATTTTCAGGCCAGATTTAATCATTAAAATATGTAGCAGGCTGCATAAAACCAACACACCGCTCATTCTTCACTACAGGAAATGTCTAATCATCCAGTGCAATCATCTCCATTATTTTAGTAGGTATGTCTTGAGCACTACTACCATTAACTTTGAATACTGACCCATGCAGATATGTTAACCCATATATCATGCAACTCTATCAAACACAAGACATAATACAAAATAATCCAATGAAAGAGATTCACTAATACCGGTTGGCTAAAAACTTAAAATGTGGCTAAAACATAAAGAAGGCAGGCCATCAGACGTTATTTGACCAACAAAAGACTTGAGATGAAAGAAAAGCATTGTGGGAACAAATTCTACATATCATCCATCCATTTTCTAACTCTCTATTCATGGGAGTTATACATTTCTCACATGAATGATTAAGGGAATGTTTAGAATGGTGTTTCTAAAACCAGTCTTTGGGAACCACCCAGACAGTTTTTGGTTTACTCTCTCCCAGTTCTCATGGACCATCTGGGGGTTCCTGAGGACTGGTTTGAGAAACACTGGTTTAGAAAGCAAGGAAAATCCATCCATTTCCTGTAAGCACTTGTCCTATTCAGGGTTCTGGGGTCATCTGGAGACCAACCCAGAGACTGTGTGGGGAAGGCAGGGAACAACCCAGGATGGAGAGCTAGCCCATCATAGGGCTCACTCACACATGTGCACCTTTGGAGAATTTGGTAACTCCAATTAACCTCAGCATGTTTTGGACTGTGGTATGGGAGCCAGGAGCAAACTCCATGACGACAAAGGGAGGACATGCAAACTCCACACGCGGAACTCTGGTTCCAAAGATATGAGGTGACAGTGCTCACCACTGTGCCACCCACAAGGAAATCTAGGAGTCGAAATTGAAATATAATCAAGAAATCTATTACATAAAGATGAGCATTCAGGATCTAAAGCAGGGGTGTCAAACTGCAGTCCTGGGGGCCACAGCCCTGTGTAACTTAGTTCTTTCCCTGTTCCACCACAAATGATTCAGCTCAACAGCTATGTGGTAATTAGCACAAGAAGTTGAATCAGGCGTGTTAAACGAGGGGAAACCTAAAAATGTGCAAGGTTCTGGCCCTCCAGGACTGGAGTCTGACACCTGTGATCTAAAGGATGTGATTTTACAGTTAACAAAATGGTAAAGCAACAGCACTGATCTTCAGCATGGTTCTTTAAGGGAGTCTCCAGAGAACCTTCATTAGAATAAATCAATAAAGCAACAAGATGCACTGGGCCCCATAGCACTTCTCAGGGAAACTGCCAGTGATGTGTCTATCTGTGTTCCGTAATCATGAAACACTTTATCTCTTCCTTTCATTTGTACGCCACTGCCTGGCTGATACAAAAAGACCTTCAGGTACCAGGACAGAGATCCTCCACTCTGGTGTATTACTTAAGACTTAGCTACATAACTTTAATGTTTACATTCAAATACAGAAAACTCCAGAAATCTACATTCTAAAGATTCCATCCACCCATGTGCCACAAAGTTCTTCACACTAAAGTACCAACAATGTGTTTAGTGACCACAAATAATCAAATGCTGAAGGTCTGAATGTCTACTATACCACAACCTCATTGGATATTTTGATAAATTCACAGTAAACTGCAACTTAATGACAGCCATGAAGCAGGCAGGAAAGCTAAGTGCAGGATATCAAGTTAATAAGAAAATCTGCTTCTCTTTGGCTTATACACTTGAGCTGGGTAACATCTTAATCTCATTCACAGCTTCCCTCAACCTGTAGGAGATGGTCTTTCATTCAGAAGGTGTCACCACACTTTCCTGCTTTTGTACCACACAGAGTTCAGGTAATTTATCATGAAACATCACGCAATCGTTTTTCACACAAGCGGTTATGCGATAGTTCTGCTGTTCGTCGATAAGCAAATGTGTAACATGCACTGTACTGAAGAGTGCACATGTGATGGAATCATCATTTATGCAGTTCTGAGTTTAATTAAACACCCCTGTGTCATTTGTAATCCTTTTCACAATCACTCCTCTGTTAAGAAGCTTAAGAAAATCATGGGCTCATTTTCCAGCTACGAAAAAAGGCAAAAAGCTAAACCAATTTGTCTAAGTACTTTGTAAGGGGCCGGAAGAGAGTGGGCGGAGCATGGAGTTGTCTAAATGTTCACAATTACAGGCCATGCAGTAGGGCTGCCCATCCGCAGGAAACTGAATAGAAATGGAATTATTAATAACAACAACCTTGGAAACACATAACCACGTGATTGTGTCACAGAGCGAGAAAAACACAAGAAATGGCACGTATACAAACAAGCAATCAAATCTATAAAATATCTGTGATATACCAGATCACTATAAAGTGCTAATTCCCTTTGTTTCTACTAATGTCATCACACATCATTCCTACCACATTTTAATATATTTTTTTAGATGAAAAAATTCTTATAGCAAGTTTTAAAAATAACACCGCTCAACTTGTTATTCTGCATTGTGGGTTTGACAGGGCGAAAGGATAAGGCTGATGATACCGCCACATCTCCATCTTCATGACACCTTGCGTCTACTCTCAACACAGCCTGAAGCAAAGGTCTTACACAAGCTTTATGATCAATTTAGTTGATGACACCATGTCTATGGATTTTAGCATGAGTATCACCTTCATCGTTATC